GCGATCGTCAGCTCTTAGAGCAGTTATTAACATCAAAGCACGATATGCTGTAAAGACTGTCTTGAATCTCGTACCGAAACCTGCCAAGGACTGTTGAGGATGTGAATACTGTGTTGTCGACTTATCCTTGCCTGCAGTGCTGTAGTCCTGACATTGGTATCATGTAACGCGTTCAGTAATTACCTTCTTTATTATTTGTAACTGGAAATGCAGTTGCGTGCAACAACTATAAATCAGTACCATTGCTATGAATTGATCGCCAAAACATTGTTATTTCTATGGTAAAGATGGTAAGGTTGGGTACCAAACACGTTTTTTTCGCTGATGATTTTTAATGCAATTACTAGTGAACCCTGGTATAACCGTTGTTGTGCAACAGTATTCTCACTGTTGAGAATCTTTTGGCATTGCTAAATCTGTTGTTACCAGTCATTCATAAATTATAAGCCGTTATACCATAGGCTTGACATAGAGTAGTCAACTAATGCGATACATTGTATAATGGCACGGGTCAGCAGTGTCACTACCTCAGCGCTGTACTGTGGCATGGCATAATGAACATTGATATGGTTTTTACACTGCAAGCCCTGCTGCTTTCATAATAAATTACATCATGAAAAAATGGGTCAAGCATACATTCTTGTATTAACTCTCATTTGACATATGAGTGACCAACAACACATGATGCAATATACAAATCACTTTCAGCAAAGTACACAACCAATAAGTGACACACCTGCTCGGCCTGTTTTGAAAATCCACAAGACACGGGTGACAAAGATGCAAGCACATCCTCTGCTTCCACAGCCATGCAACATGCTGCAGCCATCAGGCTGCTTTACTCAAAAATGTTGTTTACACAAGTAATAACACATGAATAACAAGAAAATATTACATGTGAAGTGACACTGCAAACCTGATGACCTTGCACAACTCTGGAGACATGACAAGTACCTGCAATTATGGTTAGATCGGTGAAATGCAAGGAAGTGGTAAGCTGCTGATGCACACAGGTCTCATGATAACATATTTTTAGGCACTATCCAAGAAATCAACAGCAACACTTCTACACCTTTGTCAGCATCCAGCATCTCACAAGTTGCAGTGACTATGACATTGATGACTCACAAGCAAAGCTTGCCTGCATACAAAATTCAGATTCTTAAAGAAAAGACAATTTTGCAAAGCTGTATCATGTGAGATTATACCAAGCACGTGCATTAAGGAGCTGCACAGGCCAGTCCCTACTGCCATAGTTAAGTGCTTATATAATGACATGCAATGGATCAATTGCTTGCTGTAATGCCTAAATAAGGTTCAAAATGTTGACAAGACCATAATGAAGTAACAAGTTGCCTTTGCACACCTCTACAACATAGGTGTTAGTGTTTCTTTCAGTTTACGGGCATAACCACCTTGTCCTGTTCAAACACGAACATTAAGATAGATACAGGTATCGATACACCACATTTTATTGGGGTCAGTGGACTTAAATGATACCAAAGCAATGCTCTCTCTCAGAAATACAAACCTCGCATGCACACTCACCATCACATCAAGATCAATACAAGCCACTGTTACGCACCACCAGTGATCACACCCATTTCAAGCCCCTGATTCACACTCTTTTGTCAAATACGTGTGATTCCACACCTGCACAGCTTGCGGGACTGTCAACTTGCAGGTTTTCTCACAATTTCCGCACAGGTTTCCGTTCCTAACACCATATTTCACTGTGAGCTCGCTCCCAAACAGTCTGACGGGGATTCATGGTAATGCATATCAAGAGGTTGTACTTACAGAACACAATATTTTTTTCAAGATTTAAATTTGCCGTGCAATATGTGTTAAATATTTAGCAATAGGTTCGCCAACCGAGCTGTCGGTAATAAATACATGAGAAGAACAGGAAAAAACGCCAACAGGAGAACAGGAAGAAACAAAAGGAGAAAAACGGACAGAGTTGCCCTTGCGTCTTCTTTTAAAATCATTCGGGATAGCGCCACTATCTTTCCAATGTCGTATCTTTTGCAGACAGTGACGTTCTTTTTATAACTTTGGCCCACGGCCTAGATATGAGGAAAAACGCCCCGTTGACGAGGAGTGCCGCACAACCCGAAAGTGCTCACGCTTACGTTCGCGACACTCACTGTTTTTGACCATAGGTAGAAAATAGCCTGTAATATCGCGGCGATCGTATGACGTTTCTATGACACCATCATTGCGGAGGTGGCTTTGAAATAGTCCCTCAATATACCTTTGCCAAGTTGGCGGGTGTGTAACTCAGTAACCAAAGGGCTTTGGATCTTAAAAAGGGCATAACCGTGAACTGCGTTAAAAGGCCCCCGAGGTGCCTATTTTTATTCAAAACCCCATATAAAGGTGGAACATTCCCTTTAAACTTTTCGCCATTTTTTCAGGTCGAACTTCTTACATTTTGCCTTTTTGCGTTTCGCCATTTAGCCTTTTTGGCTTTTTGCCATGTCAGCTTTCACGCTGCCATTCCGCATTAGCCATTCAACAGCTGACGAGACGCCAGTCACCAAGTGGGATTTTCGGCCTTTTGCCTCAGAACCGTTTCCTCTATAGCGTCATTTAACCGTACCATCTAGTATATTGAGGGTTAATAATTCGGCATAGAAAGCCTAAACTCTGAATGCCGAACACAGGGTCGTGGTTGTCTATACAGGTGGTTGTCTATCCAGTTGGCGGGGTTGGGGGTGGGGGGATGGGGGTGGGTGGGCTGAAACCCTCCTTTCAGCTTTGGGAAGAAAGTGAGATATATCCGCGGAGTCATCCATTTATTGGTGGCTTGAAAAGGTTGCATTATTGTTCTCGGCTATTTTCGAAATTTCACTGCTGACCGAATAACCAGAAGCTCCATGCCTTCCTTACTGATGGTAAATAGGTTTCAAACACATCAGTCATAGTTTTGCTTCTGGAACGGGCCCACACAATGTGTGACGCCACAAATTTGGAGTTGGGCGAACTTTCCCAGCCGTCTCCGGGACGAAATCGGACCGTCTTATAGAGGGGACTCCTGAGCAGTCTCTCATTTAGGGGAGGGGATGCCGGTAGTGCGTGCACCCTTTTCAAATTCGTTATGATGTGCACCAATGTCCTCACAAATATATGGTTTACAGAACAATAAGACAAAACAAAAAATTAGAGGACAAAAAGTCCAATGACATAAAGTAAAGGGATAAAAGTAAAAAGCAAAAAGTCAGGTAGCCAAAAAGTCAAAAGCAATGCAAACCCAAAAATATCACATTGAAAGTCTTTAAGTCAAATGGACCTAGTCAAAAGGATAAAAATTAAAACAAGAGTCAAGAAGCAATAATTAAAAAGAGGAAACTTTCAACGGCCAACGGCACAGCAGACTAAAAAATCACTTCTCTGTATTTCACAGGGAAGTGAAATTACATAAAAACCCACCGAGCGCCGTTGGCCATGCCCTCGCAGGGAGGACTAAGGGTGGGGGGGGGGGGGGGGGAGGGGGGTGATGAAAGTCCGCCCCGCTCAGGCAATTGGAATAAGTTATGTATCGGCTCTGTGGCTGCACGAAAGCATTATAAGCCGGGTCCCAGCCCTGGACCGAAGAAGGGCTTTATCCGTGATGGAAGTGGAGGGGCGCGGTTTCTCAAAATAGGTTGGCGAACCTGTTTGTTTCGAAAGAACAAGTAGGTTTCTCCCAAGATTCGGCCCCCTTTGTTCCAAAAGTTGACAGAACTGAAGACGAAAAGACTGTGAAATACGTCTCGTGTTTCCGCCATTGCCGCCGTCTCGTGGTCACCGCCATGGCTGCCGTCTCGTGCTTCCGCCATGGTCGCCGCCGTGGGCGCTGTCTCATGCCTGCGCCATGATCGCCGCCTCTGCGAAAGTCTCGTGGTCGTGCAGAGACCTGCAGGGAAGAAATTAAACCCTTATATCAACGCTCCGTTGAATTCACACGCTAATGACCCCATAAATTTATATATTTTTCCTAAATAAAGGGTTGTATGCTCTCGTATCCATTATTGAACATAAGTTTTGGTTCATTGGTAGGTGAAGGACCTGACCGAACACACATGTTGAGAAAAACCAACCCATCAAAGGCGTTACTTTGGTGGTGGTGGGCAGGGGGTCTAATAAGTTGTCTCCCGTCGGGGCGGCAAATTGATTTTTTAATGGAAATTTTTAGCTTTTCAGGGGAGTTTCGAGAAAACTGGCAACACTATTTTAGCTAGCAAGCCCGTATTATCTAGTCTAGCAGCGCCGGTGACCGTGTCTGTCACTGACAAAGCTCTGGGCCAGCCTATGGCCGCGGCGCCGGCGAGAGCGGCCGCTTCCGGTCGGTCGGTGCGGCGGCGGCCGGAGCGCGGCCGCCGCGGCGCCGGCGGCTCGTCTCGGCCGCCGCAGCCGGTCGCCGCCACCGCCGTATCGATTGGAGCGGTGCACAGCCTCACTTGTTGATCGGCTGCCGACTGACCATCCAGCGAGCGGCTCGTCTGGGCCCGCCCACCGCCTCGGCTGCGGTCGCTCTGCGGTTAGCCAATGATGCTGCCGCTCACCCTCCATCATTTACGATCTCCTCTCATTGCTTAACCGCAAAGTTCAAGTGCGGCTGCCCACACCTCCGGCGCGCCTGGCCCCGCCCCCGGCCGGCGTCGCCGGCCCGCCATTGGTCGCTGGGCGCGGTCTCGGTCGGCCTCAGACAGGCCGCACCGGCCCACCGCCGGCCGCCACAAATGCGACAGATGGGCTTCTTAATTGAAAATTGATCGTCGCCGACGGCCGCTGCAGACTGCAGACGGCGACAGCAGGCGACCAGTCCGGTCAGGCTTCAGCGCAGCCCCCCTTTTCCCCCGGTGCGGCACTGCAGCGGCGGCAGGGGCGGCGGCGGCGGCGGCGGTGGCGGCGGCTGCGGACGGCGACACGCCAGCGGCGGCTGGGTAATGCGCCCGTGCGGCGGCACCGGTGGCGGCGGCCGGCCGCGGCCAGTGTTGCGGTGAGCGCCGTCACGCGAGGACCCGGCGCGCCAGCCGACCCGGCCCGGCCGGCGCCGTGGCCGTCAACAGCGGCATGCACCTGCCGGCCAAGCGCACCCGCGGCGTCATGCAGCAGCAGGACGGTCTGGAGAAGATGACCGACTTCCTGCTGGAGCGCAGTCTGAGTGAGGTGGTGGCCGAGCACCCCGGCGAGCTGGTGCGCACGGGCGCGCCGGACCTGCTCTGCACCGCCCTGCCGCCACACTGGCGCTCCAACAAGACGCTGCCCGTCGCCTTCAAGGTGGTGGCGCTAGGTCACGTGGACGACGGCACTGTCGTCACCGTCACGGCCGGCAACGACGACAACTGCTGCGCCGAACTGCGCAACAACGCCTCCATTATGAAGAACCGCGTCGCCAAGTTCAATGACTTAAGGTTCGTCGGCCGTAGCGGACGAGGTAAGCAGCTAAGGCGGCACTCAAGCCTGGCCACATCATATAAGCAGCTAGCGCGGCACTTAAGCCTGGCAACACCATGTAAGCAGCTAAGGCGACACTCAAGCCTGGCCATGACCCACATGACTGGATTTTAGGAGTGGGTATATGGTTCGAGGTGTATTGTGCAGATTTCATTCAGTCAATGGTGGGACCAAAGGGGCGGTCATTGGGCCATGCCCCCCCCCCCCCTCTGGGCCCCGAAGGGATCTACAGGCGCTGAGGACCCCCACGAGCAGCCGAACGGACCAGTTTAACATGGTTTGGTTTGTTCATCATGGTTTGGTTACCATATTGTTTTAGTTATCATATTCTATCGGTTATTTTTACACAAAAGAAAAAAATATTGGACGTCTATCGGCCTCCAGACACCAAGAGCAGTCGGAAGCGAAAGTGAAGGGCCCATGAGCAGACCAAAAATTATTTGTCCCGGATTGAGACGACGGTGATTGGGAGGATTGAAAGGGTCATCACGCTATCCAGAGGCCTTACGCTCTTGCCGGGGATCATATATGCACACTTGCTGGGTTAATCAGATGATAAAGGGGCCTTCTAGGTTGTGCTTGCTTTGTTTGCATCTGTCCGGAGGGCCCTGTCCCTGTTGCCGGAGGGCCCCACCCCAAGGAGGATTCCGTAGGGGAGGGGACAAAAGGGCCATGCCCGCCACAAAGGTCGTGAAACCGTCAATTGGCCTCAAAACGGGGTGATGTATGCTGCTACCTGCATGTAGCGCCATATTCCCAGTAGTTCATTAGGTAGACTGCTCGTTTTGCTGTTGCAAAATTACTTTTGGGGCAGTCAACCATGTAAACCATCAACGCATACCCGCAGCTTACGACAGTGGCGAGTTTTGCATGAGAAGGTCATTGCTGGTGGATGGCTAACCCGCTTTGACAAGCCCAGGTTACCGATCACAGATTGCCCTGCCCCCGGCATGCAATCGTTCCCTTTCCGTCAAGTCTGCATGAGCGGCGTGGCATCCTCTAAAAAAGAGAAAAACTTAGAATCGCTCCTGTGGGGCGCTATATGCTAAGCTGTCTAGGCACTCTTGATCGAGCAGGAGCCCTCCACGGATTCTTCCCATTCGCCCGAAAGGCCCTAATGTTACTGCCGGGGGCCCAATATCCTAGCCTACCGGGGTTCTCTTGCCTGCTCAGGCTCATTACATTGGTATCGGGTTCTTTCCATTTGCTCGGAAGGCCCTGCGCGGTTCCTTGGGCCCATATCCTTACCGAGGCACTCGATGCTCAGAGGTCCCCTTCTTTGGTCTAGGGCCTTTCCCTTTAGTCTCATTTGCGGAAGACACCGCACTCTTGTCGGGACCCTTTCTGCCTGGGCACTCTTGATCGCCCAGCCCCCCCCCCCCCCCACGCTAGTCTTGGGCACTTCACGTTTGCCCGAAGGACCCTACGCTGTTATAGGGCCCGTATATGTTTATCTACCAATGCAATCCCAATCGCTCAAGAGCATTAATTCATGCACATTGGTCTTATGTCATTCCCGCTTGCTCAACGGGCTCTGCGCTCTGGCCGGGCCCTATGTGTTAATCTGCCGGACACTCCCGGCCATTAGGGCCCACCACATTGGTCTTGGGTTCTTCTCGCTTGTTCTGAAGACCCTACACTGCTGACGGGACCCTTTTTGTTGGATGTCGCAGCACTTTCAAACGCGTGATCGCTCAAGTGCCGCCCTATTGATCTTGGGTTTCCGATTTTATCGGAGGACCTGCGCTGTTGACGGGGGCCGCAATGACAATCGGCAGGGGCACCCCTGATCGCTCGGGGTCCTCCGCATCGGTCGTGGGCTTTTCCGATGAAGTAAAAATAACAAGAACCTTTCTCTGTCGCCGAAAGTCCCATATGCGCTTGCGAGCGCCAGCACTCTTGTCACTTTGGTTTTTCGCTGTCCGTGTGTACGGGCCTGCCTAAATGAATTCATGTACACAAGTCCGTGATCTTTACGATTTTTTTCCTTTGTGCCTTAGTAACAGAGAGCAACAGCCGGATATATTCCGAAATATGTGCATGCGCAATTGCCTGAGACAATTTTACACGCCGCCCACGTCGTATATGCCATCTCTGTCGGTTATATAATTTATAATACACTCTGCCTATGACTCACATTTACAACACGTTGTAAATACTAGATCATTTTAAACTCCTTTTTTACGGCCCAAACAGAAGCTATGCATTAGTCATTAGCCATCAGGTGATCAAATCGACTATCCGGTCAGTCGTAGCCAGTCTTGGAATCAGGTGTCATGCTTGATTTTGACTGCCTTCCACCATCTAATTTTAACTCATTTTACCACATATTCCACGAAATACTTAGCCTTAAACTGGCACGCTTCGCCATAATCTGGAGAAAATGAACGCGCTCCATGTATGAAGGGGCGGAGCCACGAATTTTGAGATCGGAGCAGGACTTTCCATGGGGTTCCCAGGACAAAGTGGGCCTGCTCACAGGGAGACCTCCTCGGCAGTGTCGTATTCAAGAGGAATGGGCACCTAGAGCATGTGCCCCCATCCATTTGTGGCATTAATCTTGCATTATATATATATGTATATATATATATAAATATATATATATACATATATATATATATATATATATATATATATATATATATATTTCTCTCTTTCTCTCTCTCCCTCTCTCTCTCTCTCTCTCTCTCTCTCTCTCTCTCTCTCTCTCTCTCTCTCTCTCTCTCTCTCTCTGTATGTATCATCTAAGTAAATCAATTTCGGCAGAAAAAAGCATCCAGATGCATAGATGCACAGTCTTATCCAGAACTGAACGCTTCCTATTAGCAAAGGGGGCCTCCAAATGTGACCAAGGAGCCTCGCCATCCCGAAACAGGGCATTTCCATTCTGAACCGCGGCCATTTGATGCATAAAAAGGCCTCCTGTTCCAGAAATAGGACCTCGTGAATACAGAGAATACCTCCTAACCCAAAATGGCCTCATGGTTTGTAACGGGGACCTCCCGAGCCAGCAAATAGGCCTCTTTAACACAACATTGGGCCTCTTGTGCCGAAACATTGGCTACCTTTTTCATAGAAGTAATATTATGATCCAAAACCGAGTCTTATCGATGCAGGCAAGAGTCTTTTGAGTCCCATTTATTCCTCCAACCCTGTCATGGAGGCCTCCTCGATCTGAATGTGAGTGCTCTGCGGGTAGCCCCAATACCTCCAGTTTGGGAAAACGAACCTCACCCAAGCTTTCCGCTGAAAGCTGAGTTTAGCGTGCCTCATAGGCATGACCTTTGAGGCATGACATAAAACAGCATCGTGTCTTCTTAATCTATTCATTTTTGCGTGCGTAATTGTCAAGTGCTGACATTTAGTCACGCACATATTCATGTCTGTATTGAAAGGGAGGATGCTCATGCCCCACCTAGCAACTAGGTGCTTACGCCTCTGGAGGGGAGAGGTCGGTGGGGGAGGGGGTGTCCACTGCGGCGACCCTGGCTCCCGCAGAGCAGCATTTCCAGCCGCGACACCCATCATAGCGCGGCCGTCAAGTATAAATACTGTCCCGGAGGGTGGGCGGGCTATCGCGTTTTGGGGGCCGCGCGGTCGATCGAAGCCAGATGGTGTGACGGCGCCGGTCATCCCAGCCACGGCCGGCCAATGGCGTCTCGCCTTGGAGTAGGACGGATAGCCTGCTGGGCTCAGGCGCCAGGGCGGCCAATGGCGGCGGCCTGTTTACGCGCCAGGAGGCCGGGTGGCGGGGCGCCCGCTGCCGGCCGCTGACCGCTCGGTGGCGCCGCGTCTCCGCCGGCCCGCCTTGCCACCCTCGTGTGCAGCCTGTGCTCAGCCCGGCTCGCCGGTGGCGTGAGGTAGTGCAGGCTGTTGCTGAGCCGCCAGTGCGCTATGAAAGACACTTGAGAAGAAATTTACCGCTAGCCCTTTTGTAAATTAACTGCTAGCCCGGCTTCGCTTCACGCGGGTGAAGGGAAACCGGACTGAAGTCAGTCTAGACGAAATTTTGCATCGGGATGTAAGTAGCATTACGCCTGTTGTTTTGGGGTTTCATTATATGTTGATGTATTTCATGCTAGAAGTCATCATCGTAGGTTGATGTATTCAGAGTTACCAGCTTGAACTGTCAGAAGAATCAGTTTATATCTATAACCTCAAGCAAAGCACGGCAATGCGTTATACGTACTGATTTTACATTTTTGTATGAGTGACGCATATCAGCAATGAAATGTCACATGAACGGGCCGCGCTTTGTATTTCTCTAAGGCTACGGCGCTGGCCGCTAATCTGGCCAAAGAAGTCGCTGGCGCCTCATAGAAGAGTGCACCACTTGCGTGTTGATAAGTGTTTCGTAATGAGATTGAGTGCCACTGGCCAGAGGTCATCAATGAATTGAGTTCGCCGAAACCAGCTGTGTTGCTCACCATAAAATCCATTTTGGAATCATTTTGCAGGTTCTGAAATCAAAATAATGGCTATGGTCAATTGATCGGAAACTAATGGACTTAATCGAGCCGCCCGCAGTCAAATGCTGGGTCAATTTTGTCCTTTCATGATGCCGCTCCAGTTATTGATGGGTAGGGGCTGAGCTTCTCCAAACAATGTGGCGATGCGACATCAAAAGCACCTTGAATTGATGTGCTAGTTACCTGTTTCAATTGCAAATGTCTGTACAAAACAGCAAAAATATCTTCTTTCGGTGCGTGCATCGGTGACAATGGTTCTCTCGCGGGCGTCTTCCCTTGTTCTGAGCACCTTCTCTAAACGAGCCCGGCTGACGAGCGCCGCTGCTGCGCCCGTGTTAACGTCTGGTGTCCGGCGGCTGCCCGCGTCCCCCCCCCCCCCCTCCTGTACCCTCCCCATGGCTCCATAAAACGGCCGCATCGATCGCGGCCAGCCGCCTGTCGAATGGTCGTCAGACATGACTCGCACAACATCAGCACCGCAGCGAGGGGCGCTAGCTGCCCCGGAGCGGCA